TCCAAATAGATGATCACGTTTTTCTCTGCTGCTAAATTTCCAGTCATGCTTTGTCCCAGCCTCTACTGTCTTTTCCCTGATTGGAGACAATAACATTCTCAGGGCTCTCCTGTCTCCATTTTGCACCTTCCCCTCCCTAAATCCACTTTCTACCCAACAATCAGAGTAGTTTGTTTAAAACACTAGTCTGATGTTCAATCTTCTTATAATAGTTGCATGAGAATAAAATAAAAATTTCTGACCACGGCCTATAAAACCATATACTTATCATTTGGTTTCTGCCGGCTCGCCATCTTCATCTCATACAACTCCCCCAGCTCACCACCTTATCCTCCTTCTCGAACACACTACCCTCTCCTGCTTCAGGACTTCTGTATTAGTTACTTCTGTCTAGAATGTTTTTCTCTTGACTTTTAAATACTCTATTTCCTTTCATCCTTCTGGTCTAAGCACAAGAGTCACCACTTCAGAGAAGTCTCCCTTGGCCAACCTGTCAAAAGAGGCCCCTTATCTTGGAGAGACCCCTGCCCCCGCCCACCTCTCTGCCCCTCCGGGGCGGGGCACGGACCTCCCAGCAGCATCTCCTGCAGCAGGTTGTCGATCTTGGCCATGCCGAAGAGCTTGATGAACTGGATCTGCTCAATCATCTGCCAGGTGATGCTCTGCAGGGTGGGCAGCAGCAGCAGCAGCTCGCCGAAGCGGCCACGTGAGTCATACTGGCGGTCATTGATGTAGTCCTCCAGGCTCACCTGCACCTGGGACCGCAGCCTCTTGATCTTACCTGGATCACTCAAACCTTTAGCATCTGCAACAGGAGGGGGTGGGCAAGGGAGGGCAGTGGGGCCCAGTTAGAGCATCTGGGGAGTCAGGACCCAGACTTCCCCTGACTCATGGGGCCCTCATAGGGGGGCTCAAGGTCATACAGGGAATCCTCAGCGGTGCTGGGATGAGGATTCAGGGTCTGCAAGAAGCAGAGCGCACTAATGCAAATTGTAGCTTCCTGGACTCAGGCAGAACAGTGTTTCTGTCACATTTCCTAAGATGCAGAACTGGGAGAGAGGAGTGAGGGATGGAGGATGGGACTTCAGGAACATACCCAAGAGGGCACTTAGCAACTTCCTCATTACACATGGAGAAACTGAGGCACAGAGCAGGGAAAGGACTTGGCCCAGGTCACACATCCAGTGTTGGCAATCCCTGATGTGCACTTGGGGCTCCTGACTCCCGGTTGAGTTCCCACTGTCCAGATCTCAGCACACACTGCTTCTGCTGCCTTAGAGCTGTATCCCCACTTCTCTGCTCCCTTGCCTGTGTCATCTTAGGGTCTCAGCTTAGGTTTCACCTCTACCAAGAAGCCTTCTCCATCCTACCCTCCCCAAGTCCGCATTATGTGTCCACCATATTCCCAAATTTCTGTAGCTCTTCCGTTACTACTGACTTCACAGGAGGCAATTGTCTCTTCCACTAGATGTGAGCTCTGGGCAGGAAGGCATATATATCATTTGTCATTTTAAACCCGCCACCTAGCACCATGCACAGTCAGTATTTGTTGAATAGCTGAAAGGATAGGTAGATGGATAGAAGGATAAATGAATGAAAAAAATCAATGGATAAATTCTAGATCCTCAATCTTAAGAAGGGGACTCAAGTAGTCGTCCAATGGATAATCTCAGACTTCATGGAGGTAATGCATTTATTTCCTAATGTAAGTGGCAGAAAGAGAATTTCACCCACACATCCAGTCCAGGGTGCTCTCCACTAACCATGTTTGTGCATTCTTTTACTCAGTCAACAAACTCTATTGAACACCACCTACATGCCAGGCCCTATTATAGGTCACCTGCCCCTCCAAGCCAGGTTACTGACCCTGACTCAGCGTCAGTAATCCTGCACACTTTACTGAGCCATTTACTCTGTCTAGCCCTGTGCTGAGTGCTGCAGGGGATATAGCCTGGGCCAGACTCTCAAGGAAACTAGAAGTAGCACTCTTACCCTTTAGAAAATGGGGAATAGCATGTGGTAGGTAAGAACATGAGCTTGAGATCTGAATAGTCTGAAGTTCAAATCCGAGATCTGCCATTTCCTGGTTGTGTGACCTTGGGCAAATTAATTGATTTCCCTGTGCCTCAGTTTTCTAATCTGTAAAATGGAGATAGCAATTCCCATCTCACAGGTACCATGTTGCAAGTAGTAAATGGGATGATCCACACAGAGTGTTTAGAAGAGTGTCTTAAAGAGCATTCCATAAATGGTGATGATCTCCCTCTTCATTACTATTATTACTAGAGGTGATCTTCATGCAGTTGGAGCCTAAGACAGTACCTGGCACACAGTAGGTGTTCTCTGACATGTAAGGAGAAAAGGAAGCAAGCAAACCTTTGGGGGCCCAGGAATCTTGACATTGTAAAGTAAAGTCAGGCTTTGCACAGACATAACTACAAACTACAAATACAGGTGGAAAGTCAGTAAATGGAATGGGGAGAGGAGAGTCAGAGCTGAAAGAAAGGGTGGGGATGCAGTACAGTAGTCCCCACTTATCTGCAGGAGATACAGTCCAAGGTCCCCAGTGGATGCCTAAAACCACAAACAGAACTGAACCCTTTATATACCATGTTAAAGACTATATTTTTTTCCTACACATTCATACCAATCATGAAGTTTAATTGATAAATTAGGCACAGTAAGAGATGAATACCAATAACTAATAAATACTAAAATTGAACACTTATTACAATACATTGTAATAAAAGTTATGTGAATGTGCTCTCTCTCTTTCTATCTCTATATCTTATTAAACTGTACTCACCTTTTCACTTAAAGAAAGTACTTCTATGGCTTCTCTTTGGAATGTCCAAATTGCCAGCATCACTACTCTTGCACTTTAGGGGCATTATTTAGCAAATAGGATCGCAAGGACTGCAATACTGGGACAGTTGATCTGATAACCGTGTTGGTTACCCAAGTGACTAACAGGCAGATAGCATATGCAGAGTGAATACGCTGGAAAAGGGGATGATTCACATCCCAGGTGGGACAGAGCAGGAGGGTGCAAGATTTCATCACACTACTCAGAACACTGTGCAATTGTAAACTTATGAATTGTTTATTCCTGGAATTTGGCCACAGGTAACTGAAACCACAGAAAACAAAATTATGGATAAGGGGGACTACATCCTACATGAAGGGTTAGAAAATACTCTCCACAGTTGATAGGACAAGAAATAAAGGCATAAGCACATAACAAACATTATAAAGGTGATCAATAGAGACACTAAAATAGCCAGAAAAATATATTAAGAGGATGGAGGAGAATAGGAATGGTGATAAAAGAAGTGAAACCCTTCGCTAGCCTAGGAGGAAAAATACGACCTAAAAAAGATAAAGCAAGAGAGAACAGGCTTAGCATTTTATTTTGAGCTCGAGGTAATGGCCAGAAGAAATGATAAAGAATCAGAAATGGCTCTGAGGGGTAGGCTTTAGCAGGAAAAGTGGAGTAGGGAGGAATATTTGCATTATAAGTATGTGCAGATATTATTTTGCTAGGAGTAAGGGTACACCCAATGTAGCTTCCCCATCCCCTTTTGAGGAAAAGAAGATAAAAGGAAAGAAAAGAAGGAAGACAGGAGATGAAAGAGAACAAAGGAGGGAGGAAGGGAAAGGAAAGAGAAAACTCAAGCCTCTGGACTCAGTGTGCCCTGTCAGGTCATATCATCCCTTTGAACTTTGATTTTTCCTTATCTATGAAATGGAGCTAAGAAAAACACCCTCTCCGGGTTGTTGTACTAAAGAGATGAGGTTGTGAACTTGGGGTATGTAACCCAGTAGGAGAAGTCTGACAGAGGGTCTGGAGCATCAGGGGTGGGTGGGAGGTGAGGACTGTACCTGGGTCAAAGAAGATGATGGCTTGAGGC